GGCCAAAGTGGTCCTCATAGGCATTTTGCCCTCGAGCTGCCTTGTTTCCTGCTCCCGAGGCCAGGTCATCGGCCGCCCGCAGGACAGTTCCGTTTAGGCATCTTCCGAGTCAGTGCAGCCGCTCCGCTGCGATGGCCTCTGATGATGAGATGATGTGCCCAACGCCAGTGGCCGAGGAAGAGTGTTCGGTCTCGAAGTTGGTGCGTACTGGCGGCGCTGACTGGTTACGCGGGACGCTGGGGGACATTCGCTCGTACTTGGCCGCAAAGGACGACGTCAATGAGGTGAAGAGAACCATTCATGAGCACGAGGTCAAGATAGATGGTCTGACTGCTCGAATGAAGGTGATCGAGGACAGATCTTATACCAGCATGGGGGCAGCACAGTCCGCTGCCACCGCCGTCATGACTGAAGCTGTTGACAATAAGCTGAAGGACATAAAGGCACACAATCTAAAGATGCAGGCCGAGCTTGCTGCTCTGTCCTCGCGTACGCCATCGACCAGGTCGAATGCATCGGCCGCATCACTAGAGCCCGAGAAGGAGAGGGACAATCACAAGATCTGGATCGCAGGCTTCCCGAGGCCACTGCTAGCCAAGGTCATGAGCGCCCACGCTACACAGCTCATCCAACAGCACGCCCCCGGCGGCATCACGGCAATGCCCAAGTCGCACAACTTCCAGACGGCCTACAGCATCATCTTCGGGTCGAAGGAGGCGGCCAAGGATTTTTTGATGCGCGCTCGGACCCTGGGTGTGAAGTGGCGCGACCCTCGCACCAATACTGACGGTGAGTTGAAGATACGCATGGAAGCACCGCCTGCCATCCGCAAAGACAACCGCATCCTCGGAGTCCTCTGGTCCAAGGTTGTGGAGACAGCCAAGGCCAATAACAAGTGGAGTCCTTCTTCCACGCTAGGCTCGCAGGGATTTCGTGGCACGCTATGGCTGATCTCGAATGATGACACGGAAAACTTCTCTCAGGTGAAAGGCGTAGAGTCGATGCAGTTGGACGTCTTTCCTAACGTCGTGGCATTGATGAAGCTCGGCTTCGCTGATGCCATCATCAACAGCACGGTTGAGAACTTCCTGATATAGGAAATCGCTCTGCCAAGCCAGCAGCGCATGAAGGCCGTCTTGCATGATATGCCCCTGGGGATCCTCGCCTCTCCTGTGGATAGTGAGTTGGCTGGTTTGGGTGTCCCGTTCTGCGCGGGTGCTTGCGGTGTGCGTTTCACACCTGTGCAAGCGGCAGACAGCGTCTACCAGCGGCACGCCACATCTCCGCCTACGAAGAGAATTCGGTCTTCATGCGGAATAGCCACTTCAGCGAGAAGAGCAAGAGCCTCTTCCTCGTCGTCCTGCACGTCTGGGTCTTCCAGTCCTGGTGGGTCGTCTGCACGTTCGGCACCTGCGGCAAGTTCAACGTCCTCATCCTCCAGCTCTTCGTCGTCGTTTACGGTTGACTGGCCTGCGTTGTCGATGCGATGCAGCCCTTTCTTGCCGAGCAAGCGTTTTTCAGTTGTGTCTTGGATTGCTCGTTCGCTCTTCGGCGCACTGCACGCCCCGCAGCACACCCACCGCGCAAAGATCAGGCAGCTTATCAACATGATTCAGAATCATGATGTTGTATGTATTCAAGAGGCTCGCGGGACGTACGAGTGTTTCCGTGCCCTGGAGCGTGAGGTATATCAGCTCCCTGGCTTCTCGACCTTTCTCTGCAACCCTCACTCTGGTGGTAGTCGTATTTATGTTCATCCTCGGGTGCGCAACACGTTTACATATGCGCAACATCGCGTCATTGCACATGGGCGTATACTCACTGTTGTTCTTCACAATGTCCAGCAAGCTCTCCAGATAGTCAGTGAGCATAGTGATCCTGGTCTCCGTGTGCGAGAGCGCAAGCGTCAGCTACTGCAGATTCGCGATGCCCTTCGGCCCCGAGAACTCTGCCCTAGTTCTGTGAAGCTCCAGCCGCTGAGCCGCCTGTACAAAAATGACCACCGTCTGTGCTTTAATGATCTGGATCTTGTTTTCCTGGCCTTCAGGAGGGCCGCCCCTCTCGTTCCGCCCTCGGTCCTCGCCTCGCTTCTGAAAGCAGTGTGTTTTGTCTGGTGCACGTCTGGGCGGTTTCGGAATGCCACCACTGTTTGCCCGTTGTGCGGCCTTCGTGCCGCTGACACCCTCATACATGTGCTTGTATGCCCGAGGATTGACATCATTGGGGTTTTCCTGCCTGAGCTCCCGTCTGCGTTCTGTCTTGCCCCTGGTGCCACCAGAATTCAGATTTATAGTTTTTTTCCTCTTGACAATCGTGCGCTGTTGTCTAGCGTGTTGTATACTGATGCCTGCTTCCATTGTTATCATACTTGTCACCATCGGCCCGCGTCGCCCGTCGCCGTGGCAGGGGCCCGTTTTCTACTGGTCTGCAGGCAGAGGGCAGTCCTGTCCGCGCCGGCTGGCGCGGCCCCGCAGGCGCCTCCCCGCGCGGCCGCGACGAAGACGTCTTGCCCTCGTCTCGCTTCTTGTCCGCTTGCCCTCTTCTCGTCCCTCTCTTTTGGCCAGCGTACTCCTCCTCCTCCTCCTCCTCCTCCGCCCCCCCCCCCCCCCCCTTGCCCGCGTGGCGCGCCTGCTCGAGCAGAGGGCCACGGGCACGGCGCAGGCCACGAGGCCTCACGCACAGCGCCGCGCCCCGCGGTGAGAGCTCCGCGAGGGCCTCGGTGACTCGCGCCGCGCCCCAGCGCCGAGTCCAGGGTTAGGATGTTGCAGCCCGCTGAAGCCTTGCCCACCAGAAAGGACCTCGAGCACCCGAGAAGAGAACCGAAACTCCAGGGTCTTCACGTGCCGGGCTCTGGGGGGGGGGGCGCTCTGTTCGACGCCGTTTCGACACACACACACACACACACACACACACACACACACACGCACACACACACACACACACACACACACACACACACACACACACTTCGATACTAATTCGACACCGCTCCAGCTGCTGGGAAACACTGCTGGGTTGTGGACCCGAAGTACGATAGGAACCACCGAAGCCGAGTCCACCCTCCTCCCTCTTCCCTCCTCCCTCCTCCTCCTTCTCCACAGCATCGCCCCGAGAGCGCGCGAAGAGCCCGCAGCCATCCGCCGCCCGCGGCTCTCTTTCACTCCAAGGGAGGAGGCGGCCGCCCCGGCCCCGATGCCGCGGCGTTTACTCCACGGCCCTGGACGTGTATGGAGCAGCCCTGCCCTGCTCGATTCCTTCCTTGGGTTAAGTCGGGCACGTCCCTCTACAGGAGAAGTATTCCAGAAGAGCTCAAGAAATACTATGGGGACGATTGTGTTTTAGTATTTCTGGTTATTGCTGGGCCAATGTCGCCCAAAATCAGCCTGTAGGGGGACATGCCCGACCTAATCCTTGGGTGCGTTTGCTAGTCAAGCGGCTTCGCTCGTCGGGGCGCTTATGCTGCTTTTCGTTCACGGGCCTCCTGGCCTGGAGCGGTGGCGGGCGGAGAGGAGAGGGGGAAGCGGGGCAGGGGAGCACGGAGAGGGCGGAGAGGGCTCTCTTGACACTGAGTGGCGGAGGTGGAGTGAAGTCGCGCCTGTCCCTCTGCAGGAGGAATATTCCAAAATAGTCAAAAATAGCCTGGGGACGATTGTTTTGACAACTTGATTTTTTGTGTATTTTTGATTTCGTAAAAATTGTCATCCGAAATCCCCCTGTAGGGGACATGCCTGACCTGAAGGCAGAGTGGGCGTGGGCCTACGGCCAATCTGGCACTCCCAGACGGGGTCCGAGCAGATGGGGTCGGAGGGTCGCGCCGCATCGCCTCGCCGATGCGGCTCGATGTGGAGCGCGATCTTCGCGCTGGCCTCGTCGATGCACAGTCTTCGTGGCCAGTGCATCGTCCATGGATCGGCGATGCATCGCCGATGCATCGGCGATGCGGCGCGATCCTCCGACCCCATGTACTCGGACCCATAGAAGGGGGCCTCTAATCAAGCATATGGTTCAGAGACCTCCTCCCGAAAAGCTGGGCCAGTGTTTCTTAGACAACTTGCTTGGAAGTTGGCCAAGGTTAGTGAGCACGCTCGCCCATCCAGCGTTAACAACAGAAGCTGGCCCAGTGTTGTTCTGTTATGACCAGCTTCCCGAAAGCTGGCCCTCATTTCTTACATGATACCTCTTGGTCATATGTTCGATTGCAGTGGGGAAAGTGGGGGCATGGGGACGTGGGAATTGAAGGTAGCGGGGACGCGAGAATCAAAAGGACACCGCCGTCTGCGTTTTTTGCGGAAGCATGTTCGTGGAAGTAGGCCTCGCCAGTACCACTAGATTGTTGAGTTCCTGAGCGGGGGCCGCGGGAGCAGAGGGGAGGCAGCGAGCTCGAGTGTGTGTGTGTGTGTGTGTGTGCGTGTGTGTGTGCGTGTGTGTGTGCGTGTGCGTGTGCGTGTGCGTGTGCGTGTGCGTGTGCGTGTGTGTGTGTGTGTGGTGTGTGTGTGGTGTGTGTGTGGTGTGTGTGTGGTGTGTGTGGTGTGTGTGTGGTGTGTGTGTGTGTGCGTGTGTGCGTGTGTGCGTGCGTGCGTGCGTGCGTGCGTGCGTGCGTGCGTGCGTGCGTGCGTGCGTGCGTGCGTGCGTGCGTGCGTGCGTGCGTGCGTGCGTGCGTGCGTGCGTGCGTGCGTGCGTGCGTGCGTGCGTGCGTGCGTGCGTGCGTGCGTGCGTG